CCGGGGCCGACGAGCTGGGAACCGAAGGCGCAGAAGACGGGCTGACAGCCGGTCCCCGAAACCCCGACTCACAAGATCCGAAGAAGATCCTGAGGACGCTCGTAGGGAACGATGGAGGAGGATCTGTTCCCACCAGGCGCAGACCCAGGACTAGCATCCCTGGTGAATTTCCTCCGGGGCGAAACAGAACAATTGTCCTTGAGGCAGACAATGCACCTGGCCAAAATAGCAGACCAGTTTGTACTGGACTCCCGGGACGCGTTGTTCTATGTGAGTCGAAACACTCCGGAACGCCCCCGGGACGCTGCCGACCGTCTCCGCCTGGTGGTCCCCCAAGACCTTCAAGAGGATATTCTGCACCATTGTCACGCAGACCTCCAAGGCGCTCACCAGGGTATCATCCGGACTTATGAGAGACTACGCAAAGAATTCTACGGGATTGGGATGTTCAAGGACACGGAGCGATATGTCAAAGAGTGCGTAGATTGTGTCACGACTAAGGGGTTACCCCGGAACCCAGGCTCATCATGCGGCAACTTGCTAGCTACGCGAGCCGTTCCAAGTCGTCTCAATGGACTTCGTTATACCATTGCCTCAGTCAGCCCGGGGAAACACAGCACTACTCTTGTTCCAGTGCACGTTCTCGGGGTTCATCATGTGCAAAGCCATGGCGAGCACTGAAGCCCAGGATGTGGCCGAAGCTTACGAAGAATGCGTGTTCCGGAGGATCGGGGCCGGCGAAATGCTCCGCCACGACCGAGACCCACGATTCATGGGTCGGGTGTTCAAGCACTTCCGGGAGATGCTCGGGAGCAGACAGCGCGCGACCCTAGCCTACAGCCCCCAGGCTAACGCACAGCAGGAGATGTCAGTGCAGATAGTGATCCGTAGTGTCAAGGCATACGTCCAGACGGTAGACCAGAGTGACTGGGACGGAGTTAGCCGAAAAGCTCATGTGGGCGCTGAACACCTCCTTCGACTTCACCCGACTCGACACACCGTTTTACTTGGTGCACGGTTGGGACGCCCAGGGTACCGTCGAAGCCAAGATGGGGGACTTTCTCCGGGACGTCCAACTCCGAGACGCCCAGGAGTAGCGCACGAAGATCCAACGCCAAGTAGAGTACGCTCGAGCCTGGGCCCGGGACCTCCAAGCAAAGGCCAAAAGCCGCCGAGCCGAGGACCATAACCGAAAATGAAAACAGCTCATGGACCGGCTCAAGGAAGGTTTCGAGGTCGGGGACTCGCTCTGGCTCTACCTAGCTAGGGTCCGTCCCGGACTCACCAAGAAACTGTTTGGCACGGCCCGTTCCGGATCCTAGGAAAAGGTAACGACTACCGGTATCGTCTCCAAGTCGAGGGGACGGAATACCGGTTTTACCCCTGGGTCCATGTCAGCCGGTTGAAGCCCCGAGCTAAATACCCAGATCGGCCCTCGGAGGCAATGAATATCCCGGAGAACGACGACTTCGACGCCGCACTGCGCCGTGAAGATAGTTGGGAGCCCGACGAGGGTTCTGGAGAGTTCGAATAGGAGGCAATACTTGATGTGCGTTGGGTTACCCGGACCCGCACTAGCCGGCGCATCAAAGAATACCAAGTGAAATGGGAAGGGTATGAAGTGCCGGCCTGGGTCCCCCAGGGACATCTAGGTTCCTCTATGAGTTCGACCAAGGAGAACGAGCTCGCGTGCGTTTCCAG